TAAACATAATACTAAACAACCTAAAACGACCTCGGGTACATATCTGTAGTACCTGTTACGACAACGACCCTTCGTGCACAAGTTACTGTAGTGTAAGTCGAAATCTAGCTACGACCGCGTTCGAAACTGGTGCATCGTGTTATCATTTTCCATATGTAATCGAGATGGCGCTCGGGCAAATAACGGGAAAAATAAATTACTAGGGTGTGGTTTCACTGGGTCAGTACTACGGGGTGTGGTCCTAGTGGTTAGCTTTTTGGGCCTTGACAAATATAGATGAATCTTAGTGTTCCTGATACTTATACGTAACAAAACTACTGAATATTTTTACACACATTTTCTCTTTATTCCACTATTAATACAACAGCTCATAGGGTCCTGCCCGAACGTACCCTGGGTACGGTTCGGTATACCGGAACGTACACTGGTCACTATTTGATATGGTTAGGGTTAGGATTAGGGTTAGGGTTAGGGTTAGGGTTAGGGTTCGGGTTAGGGAGTATAGGCGTAGGCGTAGGCAACTCCCTAGACTCGTTAGTGGAGTAAGCGAGGTACGGTCCGGCATATTAGATAGTACCAGGGTACGTTCCGGCAGTACCCTGGGGGACATAGACCCTCTCAGCCCTACTTACACGTTCAAACATGCTAATCACAACCAAAATCTCCAGGTGTGCACTGCCGCGCTGCCTATATCCGCTCGCGTGACCGCCCAGCTTTTCTTCTCGTAGTCATATAGATATATACAAACACATGGTACGTTTGTATATATCTATGTCGTAGCTTAGTTATTTTCTCTACTATCGCACTGTCCTGCATAATATGTTGCGTACTCAGTCAGATGCGGATCTAGAGGGGGAGGGGGGTCCGGGCCCCCCCCTTTAATTTCAAAGTGCCCTAAAATATTACTGCTCAGATGCTTTCAGAATGCACCAATTTAAAAAAAAAATTTGTGATAGGTTCCCTCCCTTAGTGGCGACGTGCCGACATTTACAGGAAATTATTATTAATATTAAATAGCCTACACTATAGGCGGAGTAGAGAATCTTTCCCAAATTCTCTGGAGTAATTCTTGGCGGAGCCTAATTAGCCCGCAGCCCTACAATACAACACCTATTGTTGTATTACAGCTTAAATCCGCGGAATTCTACAAGGACGATTGCTGCGTGCAAATCACCGACTACATCTACCTCGGCAACATTCGCTCCGCGTCCAACGAACACCTGCTATGCAAACTAAAGATCGGCAGCATACTGGACCTCTCGAACGCCGACACGTGGGCCCCGGACGCCCACTCACTGCGCGCGTGTTCCTGCACGTTGCAGACCGCCCACCCACGCTGCCGACTCAACATTGGCTTCACGGATGGAGACGGCGGCAGCATGACGCAATTCTTCGTTAAGATGTCAAAGTTCATCGACGCGGCGTGCGAGCGGAAGTACGGAGTTATCGTCTGCAGCCATGACGCGGTGTCGCGGGCTCCGTGCGCCGTCATACAGTACTTGATGAGCCGGCAGCGTATGAGCTTATCGCAGGCATACGATCGCGTGATGCGGCGCTGGCCGGCCGTACGCATCCACGACAGTCTGTGGCGATCGCTCGAAGACTGGGAGAAAAAACTCTACGGCGGAGAAACAGCCACAACGACATTTCGCCGCTCGATCGCAGACGATTGGGCGTAAAATGTTGCCAATGAGTGTTGTCGATGAAAATAAAGTTGTGCGCGAATGTTGCCGATAAGAACGATGTTGCACGTGAATGTTGCCGATAAGAACGATGTTGCACGTGAATGTTGCCGATAAGAACGATGTTGCACGTGAATGTTGCCGATAAGAACTTCTTGCCTGAGATGGAGAACAACGCGCTGCACCGTCTGCATGTATTTCAATAACATTACAAGGCTTACGAATTCGTTCTGGTTACGACCACTGTCTTGTAAATCATCTATTGCACCGTATATGACCTGGGGCCCGGTGTCTGAAACAAAACTGGTCTTAATTACCTCCGCCAAGGGGTTGGCAGGAGGTTATGTTTTCACCGGCGTGTGTTTGTTTGTTTGTTGGTTTGTGGGTTTGTGTACAGCCTAACTGAAAAAGTTATAGACGGATTGTCATAAAATTTTCAGGATAGGTCAGAAATGGGATAACTTAGAATTGATGAGATTTTCGTGGTGATACGGATCCAATTAATTGATTAATTAATTAATAAAATTTTCACGATACGTCAGAAATGGGGTAACTTAGAATTGATGGCATTTTGGTGGTGATCCGGATCCAATTAATTATTTAATTAATTAATAAATTTTTTTACAGTGAGACAATTCAGCTGCCTTGGCGGAGGTCTGCGCTCTCCGAGTGCTCTAGTTAACATTAGTAACTCGATCGTAAACCGTTGACAGGAGTATCGTAAAGTTTTCGCATAGCTGCGATGCGTTTCTGTCAATGCAATTCTCGTAAAATTAGCATTAGTCGTAAGTGCTATCTTAGCATTACCATTAGCATTAACTTTACGATGTTTCTGACAACGGCCCGCCGTATCGTACGGTACACTGTCTACCATAATTGTTATAACGTATAGTTTTTTCTGGATAGTTATTTATGTTTAGCATGCAGAAAGAATGTGCACATTTTCGCATCTTACATTGTTCTACGCTCATTCATGCTTGCCGCAGACAAGATTCATTTAGCAAAATTTACTTGTACTTATGTTGTAAGCAATTAAAATACCTATAGTTGGCAATCAATAAAGTTATTTGTTCAATCTGTGGGAGGCATTTAGTTGCGTTTGAACCACACACGCACACACACACCATATGTTGCTTTTTCCGAATTAATATCTTTTTGGTTTTAATGAAATGTTAACGTAATTGTACTACCATATGGGTTATGTTAGTTATTTTGTAATGTTATCCTTATTATCTTCGCATTCATATCTGTTCACAACAATCTTATTTGTACCAACATTTCAACCTATTTGTGCTGTATGCTAATTATCCTCGCGTTCATCGCCTGCTTGCATTCATATACCGCTACCGTGTTATCGTTTTGCTAAATGTTTTTAAAACTATTCTGTTACGTCTAATATCGTGTCCGCACCAGGATCAAATCTTAATAGAAGTAAAATTTAAATAATAATTATGTAAACGTAACTACTATTTAAATCAAACCCTTCTCGTGAATGGTGGGCGTAAGTCGCGAAGGTGGCGAAGATGAAGGTCGCGAGTGGCGAAAACGAGTTTCACATAAAATACGTCGCAGTAATTTTGAAGGCCAACAGCTCTCTCTTTGACACTCATGATGTATTGTGAGGATTAGCTGAGGTTATCACCTAAATAGAAGTACAACACTTAGTCGCACAGCCACAGCTAGGGTACGGGTTTTTCAAGGTTATCCCGAGATTCTACTTTACGCGTTGATCATTTATTGAATATGCTTACATGACATTATCCTGGCTTATTCAAATTCCGTGGCGGAAGTATGTAAAATTATAAGACGCTTGTGATATTATTATTATTATTTGTATAGGATCAGAGTCCATCGCAGATATAGCCTGTTACGGTTCCCGTTTATATTTAATTTCATGGAATTACTCCTTACACACACACGCTAGCGCACGCCGCGATTACGCACGCACGTACACAGAGAGAGAGGAGAGAGAGAGAGAGAGAGAGAGAGAGAGAGAGAGAGAAGAGAGAGAGAGAAAGAGAAAGACACACGCGCGCCGCGCACACACACACGCAGACGCGCGCGCACGTGTGTGTCATTGTGTGCGTGTGTGTGTCCTTCTCGCGATTGCTATCTTTTCACTTCTCGTTCATCGCTGCGGAAATGTATATCGCGTGAAGCTAAGATTTTTGCTGTTGTGTGTGGCCGCACATACCCAGTCAATATTGAATAAAGCGGGCTTCTCACTAAATGTCGTAAACCGCGTAAGAAATCAATATGAAATTTTGGAACTAATTGGCGCTGATTATTCTTTCCGGTATGCGCGTGCTTTGTGTGCGTAACTCACTTTTTGCTCACCGCTTTAGTGGGCAACGTAGAGAGCTGCAATACCAGGAACCGCGTGTAACTATACCAGTATATATATATATATATATTTTAGGCCTATATTATGTGTGCGGTGCGTGCGTGGCGTGCATGTAAATATATCGCCTGCAGGTGTCGTGCGTGTGTTGTCGCGTGGGCGCGTGCGACCGTGTGTG